AACATCACGAAGTGTTGCCCTTTCGTACTCCCTGGTTTTGTGAGCGGTCGGTCCGGACTGGACAGAACGACACACGCACACACACACACACGCAACCGGCAAACCGACACACCAAAGTTCTGGTTTATATAATGAAGTGAAATCTGACCATAAGGCACACCTCAATCCACTCCTACAGATGTCTGCACACTTTTGGATGACCTGAATTAGCATGATAGTAGAAGTCAGTTCCCTTGTTCTTACATTCACATTATCTATTTCGTTTAGGTATTCTCGGTACGAGTGGACGCGAGTGCAAACATTCGTCATACAATTCGGACAGCTGTGATCTTTTGTGCTGTGGGCGAGGCTACAATACTCGGCTGGAACGTCGAATGACCCAGTGCCACTGCAAATTCGTTTGGTGTTGCCAGGTGAACTGCAAGGAGTGTATCGAAGACGTACAAGTGCACACATGCAAATGACTTCTGTAATCCCAAATGTGATCACAATGCCCATCATGTGAAAGTACCCCTATCCTACCACAAGGGTGCTACAGTGACGATTCTCGGTGACAGCATTCCCATGTCGTGGCAAACTAATATAAGAAATGACGCTTGTTCATCAGGCACGAACTAGGCCGTTTCCTGGTATGGCAGCAATTTCTTTAGGCTTTATCCTTTCATCAGGCAGGCACAGGTCAGCTAGTCTCTGCGATCTGCTCTATTGACGCTGTGATTGATGTCAGCTTTTGTATCCACACAAATTTATGTAATTCTCTTGCCTCGAACCATCTCCACTTGTATGATGTGGGTTGCCAGTTACTAACACATTCTACATCATTTGTGAATAACATCAATTTCGCATCATAATAATCTCGTTGTTACCACAATAAACAATTTATTGGTCTTCTTCGCTTCTCCTACATTTCAGAGCTGTTTAATTTGTCCAAAATTCGTGATTTAAAGGAGTAGGCGTTCCGGTCGTCCAAGTGACGAAATCATGCGCCTCTCTTTCGTCGATGCGAGCAGAACGCGCTCCAACACGCTTTGTGAGATGGCAAAAGGAACCATCGAAGACAGCACTAGATGGCGCGTCGCAACTCAGGTACCTTCATGCCGGGCCCTCCCAGGTTGTGTTGTCGTCTGCGCTCGGGCGCTTATTCGCGGCTCATACCATGGACTCTCACAATCCAAAATTTTTGCCACTGGTGGTTGGTGGTATTCTCAGAGTCCTTGCACTGAGGTGGAGTCTAAAGTTCTCACCTTCCTTCCTTCGGAGTTTGTAGCGCGTGATAGACGCATCTGCTGCGCTGCGGTGGAGCGCTGGGGTCGGCAGATCGATAGAAAGTTCCAAGTAGTCGAAAACACTAGATAGCGCTCGAATTGATGCGCTTGGTTCAGCAATACACACAATTCGGGCTTCGTCATTCTAAAATTGCGGATGATGGGTGGCGTCATGCCTTCGGTGGTGGGTGATATAGTTGCAACGAATGATTGACAGAAGACTTCAGCTGCTTACCTCTACTTCCCCCTTCCCCCGCACCTCCTCACCGTTGCTAGTATTAGGGTAACCAACTGGTAGAGAGTGAAGGTGGTGGGGCCGCCAAAGCCTCCCTGAGAGGAGTTGTAAAATTTTCCAAGTAATACAATACGTACGCGGTGGTCAACCATGTGCCTCCGTCTACTTGGCGACTGAAGGTATCCCATTGCAAAAGTGGCGTAGAGTAAATCGCAAGCATAGATTGGATTTTACTCCGGAAAAGCTCTCGGTGCCCTTCATTGTTCGTCATGACCCTACCTAGACGTTCTTCTTACAAATGCTTCGTATCTGATAGAGAAACTTTATTTTGAGGACATGCCTCGCTAAGCTGTTTACGCTTACGCTGCGATTTTTGAAAAGTGAAGCTATCACTGTGTTTCATGTAATAGCCATCGCTCTTACATAGCAACTAGCACAGCTAGCCATCTGAAGAGGTCTGGCTCAGCTGTGATGAAGTATGACTTGATCCAAAACCATGCGCGCGATCGCGGCTTCTCTTGCTACAACATCATCTTATCCCGAGAAAAATTTCGGGCAATATATTGGCCATTCACGATGCTCCACAAGCAATTCGATACAATCGCACTCTTCAATATAACCAGAAACTCACGTGAAAAATTATATAAAAATGTCAACGTAACCACATTTCGTAGAGCCTCAGGGTTCCATTGGCTCTACCTATTCTGCCGAATATTCGGAGATTTCTCATTCCAATCTGTGTCATTATCATTCTTCTAATAACACTTCTACTCAACCAGGATTGAGCTGAAGTGTAACTAGATTTTGACTTGTTTTTGTTTATCACCTGCTGTTTTTGGCCGCAGTTCGCCAGCGAATGTTTCACAAGAACTTGAAACTAACTGCGTAACTTGTAGCGCACTTGCCCGCTAAGCAAGGTGCGGGTTCGGGTCCCGTCTGGGGCGAAAGTTTTGTTCACAACCCAGCATTCTTGTGTAACTATTAGGTCGGTCCATTGTTTTGAACAACTTAATGTGTTTCGATTCAATTTACTTGTCCTAGTTCTCGAGTACGTTACTTCAGCATACATACATCGCCGTTTACCAACATATAACCAATGCGAGGGTGGGTATTCAGTGTCTCTCTTGTAGAATTTCATAGAGTTCTGATCGAAGAAATATTGGATGTCGATTTTGACTTTATGGTGATTCAAGTGAGATTTCTTCTCCAGAAGGTGATTGAGAGAGGAGAGCGGATAGTCGTTCGTTGACGCAGGATTAGTGCTACAAGGCGGAGCTAAAAGAACTGACCGCCCGAGAGTCTCCAATTTTTTAGGAATTTTCTTAGCAAGGCGGGCTCGAACGACCTCAGAGAAAAATAGATTTTGTCTTCCTTTGCTTTCAAGTTGAAGGCGTTGCCATCAAGCTGTCAACGATTCTTCCCATCACTGACACTGGTATTAGTTGATGCCGGTCTTCAGCGCAAAGGCCCTCCCGTATTGCGCCAACGACTCAGGAAGTTCGAATTCAGAGGGAGTTGGGTTTGTACTGTCAGAACTCCGAATCGTTTGAGCAAATCTACTGCGGCTCGTGGATTTGTTAGCACATTGCACCCAGTCCACATCACCAATGAGTATTATAGATGGTCATCCGAAGGAACTATAGGAAACCAACAGGAACTTGATGATGTCAGATTGGGTTGAGAACTGATTCGGGACTACAATTTTCCTTCGATCAGAACTCTATGAAAGTCCACAAGAGAGGCACTGAATACCCACCCTCGCATTGGTGATATGTTGTTAATAATAATGATGTATACTATGCTGGATAAGTAGATCAGAGAAATAAGATAAGTAATAAATCGAAAAACACCAAAGGTTCTCAAAAATTGTGGACCGACCTAATAGATTATCTGCGCAGATTCTTATTAAAGGATCGGAATCGCTCAAACTATGTTAGAATCTCCACGTGGTTCTTTCTGATTTTTTTCAGGCTGATAGCTTATCCGGTAATTACAATGCTTAGTTTTTGCCTCTTAAAGGGGCAAATTCCGGGATTTTTGGCGCGAAATCTGGGTTTTCCCATCAAATATGCAGCAGTACGCAGGGGACACCCATGTGCAGAAGTGGCGGGGCGTTTTGATAAGGTTTAGGCGCTAGGAACCTAGGTTGGAGCATTGGCGCCGCCCCAACCCCATTGAGCCCGCCCACCGTCCTACGTGATCTTCCAAAGCAACCACCTAGGACGCTAGATGCTGAGCCGTTGTTTGGAAAGTCGTAGGGGAATACTTAGCGGATTTCAACTGCGGGCATAATTATCAAAAACATATGTGGGAGCGACCATTTTTCGAGACGCCGGGTGTGATCTAGTGGGAGGTGAGAAAAAATTTTAAATAGGAAGAAAACGAACGGGAAAAAGCACTGAAAAATAGAAAAAATAGGGAAACTAGAAGAAAATCAGTTTTCATTGTTGGCCGTGTCGGTTGATGGCACAAAGCCAACAGTTGCTGTAGACATGTCCAAACGCGTAATTTTCCCAGCCCTGGTTCGTAAGCGACTAACGAAGAGGAATTTCTAATTTTGGAGTTCGTTTGGAGGTATTTCCTGCTTCTTTCATTACCTTCGATCAACTTAGCACCCAGCACTTCATACTCGAACAGGTGAGTCCCTCGTTTTATCCCGGAGTTTGCCTTTAATAACAAATGGGGGGCATTCCTTAAGTTGCACAATGCGAGAAATGCGAAAATCACGATCACTATTTGCAACAATGAGTACAATGGTAGTAGTAATCATCATCCAGTTCTATTCCCATAAATATGTAAACAGTAGAATTATCTATTTTTATTCACATGATGATGAATCAATGCCTTATGCCCCTAAGAAATTCAGCACAAGAGTCTGATTCTGTTTGCCAATTCATAATTTTTACTTTCGATCACACAAAATCAAGACAAGATGATAGTAGAGAATACAAGATGTTCCAAAAAGAGTGCAAAATTTTAATTTAACACAATTTGTATTGTCAGTGGTAACCTTCTGATATCTTGGTGATAGCAGGCCATATCAAAAAATGAGTTGTCGTCCAAAAATAAACCAAGTTGTTATTGTTGAACATTCTCTGAAGGTGTTGGGTTTCGCTTGTCACAAATCGAAGATAACTGCAAATCGATGCAAGTTTCGCGCCTTAGGTTTTTTTTGAATGGTGTGACAAAATTTTCTGTCAACAAAGCCAGGTCATTTACCATGAGATGGAAGGTAGGCGGATATCGCGGTATCATAGAATGGCAAGCGGTCAAGCATACGTCAATCGTGGATGGAAATTTCGAATTTGCCAAAACGCGCAATTCCTAAGAACTAAGTTTCAGATTAGGATATTACAGAGAATTCTTGGTTCGACATATATTGGCATTTGTTTTTTTGCCTAAATCCAAATTAGATCCCAGATTGGGACAAATAAGTTTGATTTTGAGCAGGAATTTGAATTTTGCTCTTTTTTTGGAACAACTTGTATGTGGCTCGACACCTAGAATTCACAAGCTAGAGTTTTGATGGAGTGCCCCTGTGCATCAGTCAGCGATAGGACGGCATTTTCCTTCGTTTTCTCCAGGAATACTTCCTGCCATCGGAGGCAACCTTCAGAGCGTAGGCCAAACGTAACTGAAAACTTCTGTCAGTGATACTCTGGAATCGGACCATTCAAGACCTGTTCTTATATACGTTTGGCATGATATTCAGACAATATCGCCAGCGGTTGCGACAATGGATCGACTCGCACACGCCGATGTTACGTTTATCGTTTTCATTCACCAGACGCACCAGGATTATCAAAAGCGGGGAGGGGGGGCGAGCGGCCGGCTGTAATAACGTCTTTGGTTATTCGGGGGGATTTCTCTGCGCTGGGAACTGCCTATCAGTCTTGTTGGGGACAATACGGTAAGGTTCATGGCTTTCCTGCCCATGTTCTATGTCTAGTCCATGGTTTGTACCGCGTAGGTTTGCTCGTGACTAATCATAGTTTCGCGATACTGCTTTTTGATGCCGTATTGTTTATGGGAGGGTTTTGGGGCTCGTGTACGGGTCGATTAAGCCTTGATTTTAGTCGGTGTTACGTTAATGAGCATTATCATGGCCTGCGAGATAGCTTTCACTTTTTTGTATGTTCGGACTTGATATTTTTGATCTATCGTCTACCAATATAGTGTTTTATGACGTTTCGTACATTTTCACTTTTTAGAGCATTCGATTATCGTTCAATTAACCCAAGTTGAAGGTTTCTGTGACGAGAACGATTTCGTTGGCGGTGATGGTGTAAATTATGTGTTTAGCGGATTTGTATACTGCGTTGCAAAGATTGTATTGCGTGGCAGAATTTGAGATTCTTTGAAGAAAGCACTGTAACCGCGTTACAAAGGCGAAGTGTTCATTCATTAATTTGTTTATGATGTGTGCGATTTTGCGTGGACGATTAATTCAGCTAGAAAGGATAGTCCAGGTGTCCAATGCCTGAGGTCATGTCTACAGAACTGGTGGACTTGTCTACATACGTGACTGGCAAAACGAACAATTGTGCATCACAGAAGCCCAGTGGGTTCGAATGAATAGGAAATTAGCCACAAAAATTACTGGAAATAGAGCGACAAATACTATCTGTTGTGCTTGTGTTTCAGAAGACACTGCCACGTTGATGTGGATTAGTGGATTCCTCGTCTGCACGTATAGACCTTCACTTAGCGGTGCATCGTTCTAAGGTTTACTAAAAGAACATATCTAGATGTGGGTATGGCGGTCAGGCTGAGTTTTTGATTTTCGTTGCGAAGGACACTTTCCGGTGGAGAATGTGACGGATATAGAAGTGAATGACTTAGGTTTTGTGAGGCACGGTAAGCGTGACACTTTTGTTCATGAGAATTGGGCTACTAGCCAGCATTCGTGTGAAACGGTCGAGTAGTAGGTTCAAAGAGAAGAACTTAGAAAACGTCAACGTTTGCTGTATGTTTTTGGGGACCATTCGCAGGAGGTCATTGGCAGCGAAATCTGCCAAACGAGTTTTGCCGCAGCAGGTGTTGCCCATGTTCATAAACTCTCTATTGCAGCGCCGGGTATTTGGGCCCCCACCTGGAACCGGACCAACGCCTCGAGATACGCAATTGATTCTGTAAAATTGAAGACTGTTGAAGGTGAACTCTCGCTAAAAGGCAAAGACATGGTTAGATAGAGATACGATGTAATAACACTCACGCCATTCTTCTTTTTCTGTATCACTAATTTCCCACCGCTACGCAAATGATGAACCATTTTCACATCGCCTGGATTCAACGTGAAACTAGGACTCATCTCAGGCGGAAGTCTGAATTTCACGAAATAATCATCAATCTGATTATCTATTCCGACATTTCGGAGGGATGGTCAACTCACGATTGTGGTGTGCTGGTGCTGGTCGGCTCTGAAGGACCGCTAGACAAAGAAGTCTGAAAATTCTGTTATGTTATAATGTTCTCCTTCTGCCAACGAGGTCTTAGGTGGAGTCTTTATAAGTAGCCTGACGTTTGGACGAGATAGTTTTCTTCGAAGGCCCAGCAGAACAGCGCCAGTCCGGGTTAGTTATGATTAGTTACCAATAGGTGACCTGGAGTGAATTACTACCATTAATGGCTTGGAGTGAGGCTGTTCTACTGAACCTTCGAGGAAGTCTTCCCGTCGAAACGTCAGGCCACTAATAAAGGCTCCACCTAGAAACCTCGCTGTCAGAAGAAGAGCATTATAGTTACAACATTGCCGAGGTTCTACGAAGGGATAAGCTAGAATTTTTGCAGTGTTAGTACCGACATCCAAAACACAAACCACACGCACATTCAAACATCTAACACATCTAAGTAAGTAAGCTGCCTATGCAGCTGAGCTGTTAAATTAAAGCCAAAGATGCGGGAAAGAGTTCGCATGTGGGAACTGAAAGTAGCGTTGCTAAGAGGTACAAAATTTAAGAAAAATTAGGGGGACGACTTCATAGCTACAAAATAAGACTTATTTTCCAGTCCGGTTTCCACGCTTGACAGGTCTTAGGTTAGTGACGTTATAAGCGTAAACTTTCAGCTCCGTATCTCTGCTAAAAAGGCCAGAGTCGAAGAGGGATCGGTTAACAGCTAAAGTAGCAATCGGCTGACAGGGGTTTGAAGGCGCCCATCGGGACGAATGAAGCTCTGCTATGTGACTATAAGCGCGTCTTCCTTCCCCTGAAACTCTTAAATTTAGGTCACTTGTGGGTCCCAGTCCCATTTCACAGTAACGACGTTCCATCTTCTTCAAAAGCAATTTGTCATGTAACCTGTCCCTAATAAAGATAGGTGACAGGAGAAATTGGTAAGCTATGGTCGTTTCTATGCAGCCTAAATGAGTGGTTGTCTACGACACACATTCTGCAATACTAACTTCACAACATAAATGAAGATTCGGCTTCCAAGTAAATCTGATAATTGTTATAAGAGTTTATAGTGATAGGTGATAGTTGGTAAGTGATAGTTGTAGCTAGTGACAATTGCTAAACTCTCTGTGAATAGATAGTAATTTATTATGCCCATTTTTCCCACAATTCCATCTGGCGTGGAAGGACCGGCATGGACAGCCGCGTTATCGTGCGTAAAAATCAAGGTTCGAGGGAGCTGTTGTCGGAAAGATGGTAACAGTCGCTTCAGAAGAACTTCACGATACCCTATGGAATCCTCTTGAAAGGAAACAAACACGAGCTCTAGCCGCTCAGTCGTTCAAAAGAGCCTCAATCCATAAGGGATTCTTCGCCAAAATTACCTTACATCAAAACCATCTACGATTTCCACGGAACCCTCCCGTACGCTTTTTTTCTATCAGATCCACCTAGAATAAACTTTTTCACGTCGATCTCAGATCACCTGTAGCACGAAACAAGGAGCTAGAGTCCAAGATCGCGAAGGGTCTGAACAGCCAAACCTTCGTTCATAAAGTTGCGCCCTTTTCCACGCTGAAATGGAGACGTGCGATCTTGAAGCGCTCAAATAATCTTGGAACGCTCTTCATCAATCCGCTGAAGATGTATTGCTTCGCTGACGTACACACCACACGGTGGTTTTGCTCACGGAAGGCCGTATTTCAGCACGAACTTTGTTCGGACCCCTTACACAATTCGAGAGAAAACGCCCAGTTCCTCCTAAATCTTGAAGGAAACGCGGTCTTCATTTACCTAAGCTACTCTTCTCCCCGCACTGACCAGGATTTCGCACTTAGTTGCTTAGGTCGTAGGAGCCGGCCGGCTTGGGAGGAAATTTTGCTCCTTTGCCATCCCACTTCAGTAAGTGCTCTGGCTTGAGCTTGTTACTGGGAAGAGAGGCGAGTAACACGAGATACGGCTAACACCCGCAGTCGACTGAGCTCAGATATATCCCCGCTTCCCTTATTTCCTTCACTGATCACGAGAAATGGGAACTTTTTATGAGTAGCCCGATATTCACGAAACGGTGAAAATTCGTTCAGAAAAAGTTAATTGGGTTACTTGAGGGAGGAACTTTGTCAGAAAAACACTGTGAGGGTTTTCCATGACGAGGAATCTAATGGTGATAGCAGCATTTCCAAAAAATGCACAGCAACTTTGGAGTAGCAAAAATTTAGGGTGGACCTATAATTATGAAACGCAGTGTATAACCTTCTTCCAC